AGCCTGAGCCACAGACCAAACAATTTATAAGTAATACTAAGCCTCTGATTGGTTATTTGTGTACAAGGGGACGAGAAGGATTTATCTGGCTACACTTGGCACCCAACATGGGGTAATAATTTCTACCTAAAACATGAGAGAGCTTAAAAAAAGAAAAGAAAAGAAAAAGGTTAAAAAATGGAGTCAAGAAGAGCTTCCTAGTGCGTGTCTCTCATGTGGTCCATGATACAGAGACACTGCAGTAAAGAGATACCAAGGCATTTGAGCTTGAACACAGCATGGCAAAATCCTACCACGATACACAGAGGCATCTCCAAGCTGGACAGTGTGCTGCATAGCAAGATTTAACTTTTGCTCGTACAGACAAAAACGGTTTATGGGCTGCGTGCTACTTGGTGGTGGCATGGACCCACTGATCTGTGATTCTTGGGGCTCCATGAAGAAGAGAGAAGACCCCCCCCCCCAAAAGGAGGTCTGTAGCACCTTTTCTGTGCCCTTGGAGGCAAAGGAAGGAGAGACTGAAGCAAAAGGAAAGACTGGGTCTTACCGGAGCAACTGGGAAACAAGGTTAGTTTTTAAACAGGAGCCAGTGGCTGTTACCAGGTCCCAAAGAAACTTGGGACAAGAATCACTCAGGACCTGTGGCTCCTCCCAGCACTCATCAGCTGGTCCCTTCTCCCTGAAACCTCTCCAACCCAAGGGCTGGGCTTTGCTTCCCTTCCCCAGTCTCTAATTCCTGTATAATTTGGCTGTTCTTGCCCCCCACCCCTTGCCCCCAGGTTCCCGTGAGCTTGCTTGCTCCCTTTGGCCCCTTCTCTCCTCTCTCTTCTTTTCCTCTCTCACTCTCCCTTTCTCCTTCTGTTGTGGCCTGGTCTGTTCTGCTGGCCATGCTCAGTTTGGACTGTTCCAGATGCCTCTGGCTGAACTTGCCCTCATATCTACAGTAAAAGCTTTCCCTTCAACCTTACCTTGGAGTGGTCATGTGCTCACTTTCCTTCAGCTATTAGCTGCTACTCCAGAGAAAGGGCTGGCAGCTGGCTGAGTGTTTTCATGGACAGTGGGACAGGACCCCGAGAATAAAGGGGCCCCTAACCGGACCCTGGACATCAGCTTCCACTTAGGCTGACTTATTTTGGTTATTGTTTGTTTTGTTTTCAGACAGGGTCTCTTTATGTAGTCTAGGTGGGCCTGGAACTTTCTAAGTAGACCAGTCTGACCTTGATCTCAGAGAGATCCACCAATCTCTTCCTCTTGAGTGCTGGGACTAAAAGTGTGAGCCACCATGTCCAGCCCTGTTTGGGTTTTGAGGCAGGGTCTTGCAATATACCTCCACCAGAGCAGAGACTTACCGGGTCCTTCCTCGGCTTCCCCGAGTGGTGTGATTACAGGTGTGAACTATCAGGCTATAGGTTGACAGCTAACTACAATGAAAAACTTCACACTCTCACACACTCATAACACACATACACACACACACACACACACACACACACACAACACACACACACACGAGAGGGGGGGGACATCTTTTAGACTGAACTAAATTTTTTTTTTTTTTTTTTTGGTTTTTCGAGACAGGGTTTCTCTGTGTAGCTTTGCGCCTTTCCTGGAACTCACTTGGTAGCCCAGGCTGGCCTCGAACTCACAGAGATCCGCCTGGCTCTGCCTCCCGAGTGCTGGGATTAAAGGCGTGCGCCACCACCGCCCGGCTGACTGAACTAAATTTTGAGTGAAGGTGTTTTCATAGTAGTTGGCCCATGAACAAAATGTAGTTCCTTCTTCCCCACTACTGTGTCTGAACATGACTGTTGTGTTGTGTGTGTGTGTGTGTGTGTGTGTGTGTGTGTGTGTGATAGACAGATAGATATGATAGACAGATAGATAGATAGATAGATAGATAGATAGATAGATATGACAGATAGATAGATAGATAGATAGATAGATAGATAGATAGATAGATAGACAGACAGACAGACAGACAGACAGACAGACAGACAGACAGATAGATAGATAGATAGATAGATAGATAGATAGACAGAGCTTTTCGTTTTAAGGCTAGGGGTGGGGTTCTTCTGATAATACTGAATGAAAATTTACATAACAAAAAGTCACAGAGAGGCTGGGCTGAAGATGGAGTTCTTGTCCAGCAAGCTGAAAGCTCTGCACAGACTGGACTTGGTTGCTCATGCCCGTGGTTCAGCACTCTGAGAATTAGGATGGAATTAGGATGAGAAGCTCAAGGTTATCCCAGCTATCTGGGGAGTTTGAAGGCAGCCTGGTCCACATTAGACACTGTCTCACAAGCTGGAACCAAACCAAGTCACAACCACAAAATGGTACAGAGAAAAACCGCGAGCATTCGAAGCAGGTGAGAGGATCTGGGGCTGGATGTTGCGACGTGCTTGTCTATTGCAAATCCAAGGAAGCACTGTGCAGTTTCCCTCTTTTTCTTGGTTTTATCTCTCGCTCTCTGGACAAGGGGGAAAACAATCTCATTTCTAGTGTCTTGATTTTTTTTTAACAGTACATTTGAAGTAAGTAGATGAGCTTTGTTGATGTAAACACATAACTCTCACCTCAAAGAAGTTAAATGTGAGTGACCACGGTCCAGGAGCACAGATTCCTCTTACTCCAAATAGTATAATCTAACTGGTACCAGTTTCATGAAGTGTTTATTTCAACAGAGCAAAAAAAAATCATAAATCAAGGTACTTTAAAATACATCGGTGGACAGACTGGAGATGTTGCTCTGTGGTGAACCATACACACTTCCAAAGGCTCTAGGTTTGGTTCTCAGCGTCCACATCAGGTGACTCATACCAGTCTGTAACTACAACTTCAGGAGACTCCTTGGGTACCAGTACTCATGTGCACATACCCTCACACAGATAGAGAGACAGCACACACACACACACACACACACACACACACACACACACACGCACACGCGCACGCGCACACGCACACGCACACGCACACACACACACACGCACACCATATGACTTATTAAAAATAAAAATTAATGCTACTCTGAACATAGTTGAGCATGTATCTCTGTGCTCAATCATACCACAAAGACACATGCTCAACTACGTTCATAGCAGCATTATTCGTAACAGCCAGAACCTGGAAACAACCTAGATGCTTGTCAACCGAAGAATGGATAAAGAAAATACACAATGGAGTACTACTCAGCAGAGAAAAAAAATGACATCATGAAATTTGCAGGAAAATGGATGGAACTAGAAAATATCATCCTGAGTGAGATAACCCAAACCCAGAAGGACAAACATGGTATGTACTCACTCATAAGTAGATACTAGATGTAAAGCAAAGGACAATGAGGCTGCAACCCACAGAACCAGGGAGGCTACCTAGCAGGGGGGACCCTAGGATGACTGTGGCTTATAATAAGTTTTCGTTTTGCCCAATCACTGGGCAAGCTTTCCTGAAACATTTCACTATTAGGATAAGAATTTGTACTGTATCAAGCTGATGAAAGAAAATGCTGGCCGTACATTCAGGAGGGGAGGCTAAAATCTTTTTAGATTATGGATTAGCCTATAGAAAAATGTCTGCCGTAAAGCAAACAGTGAAGGGGAAGATGAATAGGAATCTCACATACACAACTTAAATAAAACATAGCTCTCTGAACAGATGAAGATAGGTCTCTTCTGTATCACAGAATCTAATCAATATATGTATAATCTAGCTATCATTTGGCTTAAAAGGGCTTATTGGGAAATGTTATCATTTATACTATTTTCTAGAGAAAAAATATTTTGCTGTTTAAAATAAATAAATTAATTAATAAAAACAAACAAACAAAAATGCCTTGGTGGGTGTTAGTTATTATGTGACTGCAGTGCACAGATTATGTAGGACGTAAGGCCCCCGGGAATGACTACGTGTCTCCCCAGCGCATGTGTGGTCATGGGGGACTGGCTAGAAATTTCAGTCAGGTGAGCAGAGGTTACTACTGCAAAGCATCCATCACTATCCTCTGGAACTGGAGTTACACACAGTTTGAGCCGATATTGGGTTTTGAAGGTTTACAAATCCAGCTCCCAGCAAAAACCACCACTGAATAATATCTCCATTCCACTATTTCATTTTTAATTTTGTGTGGGGGGAGGGCAGTGGGTGGGTATGCAGATGTGAGTGCAGGTGATTGTGGAGTCCAGAAAATGGTGCCTGACCTCCTGGAACTGGAAGTTGTAGCCACCTGACATGGGTGATGGGTTCTCTGCAGAGCAGTAACCCTTCCTAAACTACTTCTCTAGTCCCATCATAGAAGTTCTCATTTGTCAATCATCCTTGAGTGATATTTAACATAGGTGTGGCTTTTTTTTCTTTTCTTTTCTTTCTTTCTTTTTTTTTTTTTTTTTTGAGGGCCTGGAGACTTCAGTTCATAGCTTTAACCTTCAGAAATATATTCCTAGTTTTGCACCTCCTCAATTTAAATGTGAAATTCTGTTGCCTTTAAAACCTGTAAGAATTGTGCTGCAGTGTGAATGGTATGTGGAGTTGGCCCATCCATCCATCCATCCATCCATCCATCCATCCATCCATCCTTTTTTTTTAACCAAATTTCCTCATTTGAAAGAATGGTACAAACTAAAGAACTTAAGTGGATGTTGTGATATGACTTCTAGAAAAGGTAAAAGTACCCAGGCATGCATGTGTTGCTTCCGTGACCAGGGAAGTCACCTGTGGTTCTGGGGATTATGGTTCTTAGTTTTTATTTTCACTGTGTCTCAGGGTGTGCTTTTCAGGGGCTCATATCTTGTCCAGGTTGGTTATGTGGTCACCCAGTTCTCTGATGGATTTCACCTATTCATGTAATGAGTATCCATCCACAAAGTTACATAAGTGGGGGGTTTGTGAAGTTACAGTCACGACTGATTCACAGTCTTTTCCACATGCAGTTGCATACTTCATTGTGTTTAGTCCATATTTCTAGTCATCAGGTCTTGATGTCCTGCAGTAAAATTGGCCACCTCCTCGGTACTGTAGCCTCATCAGTTCCCCATGTTCCCACTCCTCATGAGATCGGTAGGATTTGGCAAAGTTCTTCAAAGCCACACCATCCTGGTCAAGGTAGCAAGCCATGGACAGATAGACATTGGAGGCATACAGCTCCAGGTTGATCTGGAGGTCCATGGCAGCCTCTGTGCCATGGTGGTAGTTGTGGCTCACCTTCAGGAGTGACTTGGTGGTCAAGGCCACGACAAGGTGGTAGAAGACTCTGGCTTGGAGCCCTCGGTTGACGGCCACATGCAAACACTGTTCAAACAGGAAGCGGTGGCGGCTCTAGGCTGAGAACATCTTTCATTCATTCTCTGTCACCTGTAATGTATTCCTGGGTATCAGGAGCAGATTTTTAAGATAGAAGTCATCGTTTTTTTCTGTTATGTCTTTAAAGTTGTTTTTGAAATGCCACTCCCAACCCTTTGTTGGCCACTCCCAACCCTTTGTTTGGAGACAGGGTTTCTCTGTGTAGCCCTGGCTGTCCTGGAACTTACTCTGTAAGTTCCAGGCTGGACTCAGACTCAGAGATCCATTTGTCTCTGTCTCCTGAGTGCTGGGATCAAAGGTGTGCACAACCAGACCTGGCTGTTTTGAAATGCTTTAATAAAGTGGTTCTGTAGTTCTGTTTCAGCTCTGGAAATAAAGAGCAAAACAGCAAACAATTCCCAGACCACTTGGACTATAAGATAGAGTTATAAAACACAAACACACACGTTCACACGCACACACACAGGACATGTCACCAATAAGAGAACTGTTGGAGGCTGAGGAGTACCCCAATTGTTTTCCTTGAAAAGAGGTGATCCATCGTCTAGGCACTGGCAAATAGGATCCACAGTGATGTATTTAACCAACACCCACTCAATCTCTTTATGGAAATGTCAAGAATACATTTTTGCCATAGAGACAGAAAGCTGTCCTAGAGAAGGTACAGAAGAAGCCGGCCACCATGATACCCAAATTCACTCTCAGAAGTTGACTTTAAAAGAAGTTGCAGAAGTGGTTAAGGATGATGCTCAACATACAGGTGTAGTGATATATTGTGTAACCGAATAATCTCTCTGTCTCTCTCTCTGTCTCTGTCTCTCCCTCTCTCTCACACACACACAAACACACACATGCTTTCACACATACACTTTTCTCTCTCACACACACACTCACATACACATATTTTCTCTCTCACACATTCTCTCTTGCACATGTATACACACATACACACTCACACACTGTCTATTCCCTGAGAGTTCATGAGGCTGAATTTAAAGGAATGTAAGAGTAGAGTTTAGAGAGGGGTGTTTGCTAAAGAGATTGGCAACATTATAAAGAATCCAAGAGCTTTACACCAGGATAACTGGAAAGATGCTATGAGGGCATCTCAGGAATCTATGAGAGCCTACCATCAGAGCGGACAGGTGTACACATGAACCAGCGCTTCGGTGACTGTGAGATGGGTCCCCCCAGGTAATGGTGATCTGCCAAGTATGATAGGGTTTGGGTTTGGTATTTGTTAGGTGAGGTCACTATAACAGGGCATATCTTGGTGCTGGTCTGTGTCCTCAGGGCCTGCCCTCTCACAGGGAACATTTATGCTTCTCTTTGCCATCACACATCCTCTTTCTGCCCCAGATCTGACTCCATCGTTGAAGGACACATGCCTGGATAGGACATAGAGGGGTGGCCCTGTCCCATAGATCTAAAAAGGGAAAATGTCACAGCAGGGAGAATGAACATCTTGTATGATACAATTAAGGAACACAGCAGGATGGACCAGTGGCTTCTCAGCCACTCTGGGATCCAACCTGAGCCATGTCCACAGGAATTCATCAGGCTCCCATGCTTGCCTCTGTGGAAATGAGGCAAGCTGATGACACCAGTGTTCTCACTGGTCCTTCTGAAAAGGTTGCTGGATCCAGAAAGACCCAAAATCCACACTCAGGTTCTGCATTTTCCCCCTTCAGGTACCTTAGAGCTTGTTCCTTCAAAGACACTTCTAATGACATGGTGGTGTTGGGGGTGAAGTTACTTTTCCTGGGACTTTTGAGCACCACAGGGCCAATTCTCCGGGGAAAGGAAGATGCAGGAAAACCCCCTTGGTCATCTTTCACAAACATGACTTTTATTCTGAGATTCATGACAATCATTATAGTAGGACAGGCCCCATAGGGTGGAGGCAATTGGCTCAGACCAGTAGCCAGGGCATGCACAGAATGTACTCCTTAAGAGCTAACCTGGAGTCTGCCTGAGGGCCTAGCAGCAGGAGCTGTCAGAGTTCCTAGTCACTGTCAGAGTTCCTGATCGTGCTGAGTCTGTCTGAGGACCTAGCAACAATTGCTGTCAGAATTCCTGATTGTGCCCAGCCAATGAGGGACGACCACACACACTGGGCGCTGGGAGGAGGGTATAGAAGGGCTACCCTGTTATTAAATAAAGGAGTTCATTATTTGCTTTCCACAGACACCCTGTGTCTGTGTCTGTGTCCTTGATGACATGCCTCATCACGCCTTCCCCGGAGGAAGATGCTAGAACCCAAGCAATAACTGGCGCCCAATGTGGGGCTTCTGTTACTTTGTTTCTCCCAGTGCAGGTTCTGATCGGCTCCCTCTCTTTACTTGCTGCCCCTTGCTTGACAGTGGCCCCAAGTAACACAGTGTGTTTCGTTGAGAAGTGTTGTGTTCTTTCCGTCCCTTTGGCAGGTGAGCATTGGGGCCCCCACTTCTTTCCTTCTTCTGTGTTGTCTGTCATGTTTGTCTGCCCATTCCGTTAGGAAGGCACTTGTTTTTTTTCATTTCGATTTTCCCGGCACTTCCACATAAGGGTTGACCTCCAAGGACGTGGAACCAAGACTCGGCTCCCGATTGCCATCCCTCATCCGGAGACACCATGTGGGCATAAGGTCATGGCCTATAAAAAACCACAAACGTCCCCCATAAGCACAGGACATGAGGGTCTGATACAAATTTTCATCCCGTTGAAAAGATGGGTAATCTTTTCATCACCCCCACCAATTCCCTGTCAGATATCTCTACAATATCCGATGAGGAGGAGACAGACAGTCTTGGCCCTGAGAAAACTGTCAGTTTGGGCCCAAAAAATTTGTCAGGAAGAATGTAGCTGTCAGTTTGGGCCCTGGGAAATCTGTCAAGGTGAACATAACTGTCAGTTTGGGCCCCGAGAAATGTGTCAGGGAGAACGGAGCTGTCAGTTTGGACCCTGAGAAATCTGTTACTGTTAGTCTGCTACTAAGAATGAGGCAGAGAAGTGTCGGGAGAAGAGGGGTCTCATGTGACCTGGGTAGATTTTGGACACGTTTTCGGCTCCTGCCCCCTGATTATGGATGCCTTTGAGGGGCAGGGTCCTTGCAGAATTCCTGCGGCCCAGGATTCCATCATTTCCTCCCTTCTTCCTGGCTGGAACTCTGAGCAGGGTACAGACACAGGGCATCATGGGCTTTGTGCATGGTTCCGTCTACAGGTCTCCTCCCATATGTGAGTCCTCTCCAATACCACGGCTGCAGATTTGTGATGTTCTGCATCCTCTGAAAAACTCTTAAAATACAACAACACACGTGAATGAGAATCTTGTGACTGCAGCTATACAGGGCGTCTTTCCAACTGTGGTCACCCTGCTCTGCCCTGCTCTCCAAGCTGCTTCCTCCTGTCTAAACCTCTGCTCCCAGGCACCTCTGTCCCTCATCACCCAGCTCCCATCTCATACCACTTTTCTCCTCCCTTAGCACCTCCTCCTCCCCCTCCCTTCTCTTAACATGGTCAACACCCTTCTGCCATTGACTTCTAGTCCAACATTTTTAGATTTCCCATGTGTAGGATACAGTGAGATTTGTCTTCTGGGATGCTAGATATGTTGATAGGTTCCATTGAACCATCCCATGGTATCTACATCTAGCTTCCCAATGCATTCTATCCCATAAATACACATAGTTATGATCTGTCCATTGACACAGACATGAGTAAAACACTCATTCCAACACAGAAAGGTACCTGGGCCAGTCCTGCTGTTTGCTCTCCGGACGCCCTCCTTCTGCCTCATTTCTGAGGCAAGATTTTGTTCTGCCCCCAGCGAGGTTTCTTCCTTGATGGACAGCAGCAAAAGAGTCTCATGAAGGCATTTCCTATCCTCCTTGCCAATGCCCTCAAGCCTCGAGGCTGGCCATGGCTGCGGGTGGACTTGTCCTTTGCTGAGTCTCTGTGGGAGCATAAGATGTCTTCTGTGTTATCAGTGCTGGTACTCACTGAGCAAATGCAGGGGGCACTCTTGGAGCATTGGTGGTCTTGGTCCGAAGTGATTGTTCTCTGGAGTGGCATGTGGAGAGGAATGGTGGCCCTTCTGTCTCCTCTTTGACCTGGCCGCTGGCCATAGGCAGACACCTGACCACTAGTGGATGACCCTCTGAGCAATGTGCCAAGGGCAGGCTCACTCCTCCTCCTCCTGGGTGGTAGAGGGAAAGCAACAGGATCCTCTAGGGAAGGGAATGGTGCCACCCCTGGATTCACAGGTTGAGCCAAGGTTGTGCAGGTAGGCCACTGGAGAGCCTGCCCTTTTAGTAAGCAATAAAATGCCATGGTCTGGTTGAATTTTCTCTTGTGTAATGATTCTTTGATGTCCCGGGCTTGGAACCCAATGTGTTCCATGGCTTTCACAATTGCAGGGTCAGGCAAGCCAGGGACCATTTCTTCACAGTCATTTGGTGAAGCCTCCATGTCTTCCCTGAGCCAGGGATGTCTTTTCACTTCTTCCACTGTTGGCCTAAGACTGGGGTCGACTGTCATTAAGAGGCTAAGCAGGTCCTGGAGCTCTGGTGACATGCCCAAGGGGACAGTATAATTCGCATTCACAATCTGATGTCGGAGCTCTGGTAGGGTGACAGCATCAAATGGGACTTTCCCGACTACCATGAAATATAGAACCACTCCTAACGTCCATATGTCGACCTTGGGGCCGTCATAAAGTCTTCTAAGGTGAAATTCAGGGGCATAAAATCTGTAAGCCCCACAGTAAAAGCTGAGTTTTTCTCCAGGCCTAACTTTGGCACCAAGGCCAAAGTCGACGATTTTGACTTTTCCATTCCTATCCACCATGATGTTGTCCGGTTTCAGGTCCCGATGAATTATTCCATGTTCATGGCAGTAACTCACAGCACTTAGGATTTGCCTGAAGATCCCCCGGGCACGGTCTTCCTCCAGGTGTCCAGCCTTTCGGACGTATCGATATAGCTGTTTTCCCGCAGCCAGCTCCATGATGAGGTACGTTTTCTTCTTAGACTCAATCACTTGGATAAGTGAGATGATGTTGGGGTGGTTGATCATCTTCATAATATTTACCTCAGGTTTGATCGGTAAGCACCACTTATTCTCTTTTTCAAGTACTTTGACAGCCACCAGGGTGCTGGTGAAGCGGTGGTAGGCCATTTTTACTTCGGCAAAGCCTCCACGGCCAAGGGTCTTCAACATCAAATACTGCAAGTAGAAGTTTTCTTTTTCCGGGGGGCTGGATGGAGATCCAAGAACTGTGGCATCCTCTTCATTACTACTAGAGCTCATTTTTGGTAACAAAGTATAAATGCTACCTAAGAGAAAGAAAAAAGAAGAAAGAAGAAATTCAAAATGAAAAAGAAAACAGTGAAAAAAAATAGAAAGCCTGAAATTCTATCAAACAACTAACAACAACAACAACAAGAAGAACAACAAAAACCCGGAAAACCAAAATCACACACACACAAAGCCAAAAGAATCCAAATAAAAAAAAACCTAACTGCAGGTCACTAGGGAGGAGGACCAGAGCTCAGCAACACTGAGAATGAAGACCGTTGATTGCTTAAGAAGAAAAACATACAAAGAAATACAGAAAGGATGAAGAAATTTAAAAATTAGAAGATCCAAGCAATGTCAAATGAAACAAAAGCAAGCAAAACTCCAAACAAACAAAATACATTAAAAAGGAAAAACCTAGAAATCAAAACAAAATATAACAAAGCCCACAACAGCTTCTAGATTATACAAGTCACTTAAAAAATAATAAACACCAAGAAACAATCCAATGAATAATTTGGATAGGGTACTGAAAAGGGTTTTCTCAGAAGACACACAAATGGCTTAAGAAATATATATATATATACACACACACATATGTGTGTGCACATATATATGTGTGTATGTGTATATGTTTGTATTTGTATTAATGTTCACCATCCTCGGCCATCAAGGAAAGGCAAATTAAAACTTTTTTGAGATTTTGTTTTACTCTAGTCAGAATGGCAAAGACTAATAAAAGGCAACAAATGCTGATGTGGATGTGGGGGATGGAAACCCTCATGCAGTGTGGATGCTGGTGTGGATGTGGGGGATGGAGAACCTCATGCACTGTGGATGCTGGTGTGGATGTGGGGGATGGAGACCCTCATGCACTGTGGATGCTGGTGTGAGTGTGGGGGGATGGAGACCCTCATGCACTGTGGATGCTGGTGTGGATGTGGGAGACGAAAACCCTCATGCACTGTGGATGCTGGTGTGAGTGTGGGGGATGCAGACCCTCATTCACTGTGGATGCTGGTGTGAGTGTGGGGGATGGAGACCCTCATGCACTGTGGTTGCTGTTGTGAGTGTGGGGGATGCAGACCCTCATGCACTGTGGATGCTGGTGTGAGTGTGGGGGATGGAGACCCTCATGCACTGTGGTTGCTGTTGTGGATGTGGGAGATGAAAACCCTCATGCACTGTTGATGCTGGTGTGAGTGTGGGGGATGGAGACCCTCATGCACTGTGGATGCTGGTGTGAGTGTGGGGGATGGATACCCTCATGCACTTTGGATGGGAGTGCAAACTCGTGCAGCCACTGTAGAAATCAGTGTGGCTGTTCCTCAGAAAACTAGCAATAGACCTATCACGTGGTCCAGCTATACCACTCCTGGGTATATACTCAAGGGACTCTATTTCCTGCTGCAGAGACACTTACTCACCCACATTCAGTGCTGCTCTATTCACAATAGCTGAGATATGTAAACATCCTAGACATCCATCAACTGAAGAAGGGCTAATGAAAATGTGGTACCCATACAAAATGGAATTTTATTCAGCTACAAAGACAACTGAAATTATGAAATTTCTAAGTAAATGGATGGAACTGGGAAACATTACACTAAGTGAGGTGACCCAGACCCAGAAAGGCAAGCTGGCATGTTCTCATGTTCCCATTCATATGTGGATCCTTGCATCAAATCTTTGGATTTATTAGTGCAACTCTCAGATCTCATCAGAGAAATTTATTTGTGCAAATGTTTACATAGAAATTGACAACTTGTCAAAGAATAGAGAGAGTCAATGGAGTGCTCAGACACAAATGGGATGTCCACATCATACCCTTCCTCCTCTAAGGCTCAGGGACCATCATGGAAATGAAGGAAGAGAGATTGCAAGAACCAGAGGGTGGGAAGGACCAGAGCAAATGATCATCTTCTTGGCATGACAGGACCACTGCACTCACGAGCTGGCTGCAGCTGTGGCTGCCTGCACAAGACCTGCCCAAAACCAAGCAGTAAGCAGTCCAGCATGACTGCCCATAGGAGCCACTGACAGTTGGTGGTTTCTGGGGAAGGGAGAGTCATTTCTCCTCAAGAACGTGGCTCCTGCCTGCTCTTCCAGGTATTAGAATTTTGTCATTGTCAGCTGAATTCATACTTCATATTTCTGCAGCTTGCAGCATTCCCCTAATGTCGAGCAGAAGCATTTCTCCAACGCAGAGGAAATGGACCAAATACTTTTCTGACAAAGGAAACCAAACCGACTGCGAAGAGCCTCAAAGTAGCCAGAACTCGGCTCCAAAAGGAAACCAAATCCCAGTAAATCTCTTGATGCTTTCTAAACCAGCACACCAAACTTCATCTTCATTAGAACATTGCTATTTTTTGTACCTAATAATTAAAAACCAAGAACCATAGGCTTTCAAGATGTCTCAGTGGGTAATGACATTTGCTACCAAGCTTAATGATCTATCTGTGTTTGATTCCTAAGAGCCACAAGGTAGAAAGAAAGAAGCAGATCCAACAAGTCATCCTCTGATACCACATTGTATCTGCCCCCCACAATGAATGAAGAATAAATAAATGTAGTAATAGAAAAAAAAAAAGGATGTGGCTCCGGATAGGCCAACCACACTGCAATGGATACCCCCACACCCATGAACATATGAGCCCAAATTGGGATCAATGGGCTTTTGAGAGAGAGAGAGAGAGGAATAGGGAGTTGGAGTAGAGGTAGGGAGATCTAGGAGAAGTTGGGGAAGAGTGGTCAGTGAATATAATCAAAGTATATTCTATGAATATATGAAATTCTCAAAAAGTACTGTATCTTAAAAAAAGAAATAAGTAAAAATCGAAAACCCCAAACAATCAAAAATACAATAAGAAAACCTAGAAAAGCAAAACAAAATCAGAAAACCAAAGGTCACACATATACCCCAAAATGTAAAAATAATAAAAACACAAAGAAAATTTCAAACCAAAACTAACAAACCTGAAACCAGCCCAAACCAAGAAGCCAGAAAAGCCAAAACATCAAAAGTAAAACTCAAACACCGAGCTACGGTGACACATACCTTTAGTCCCAGCACTCCAGAGGCAGAGGCAGGTGGACCTCAGGGTTTGAGGCCAGCCTGGTCTACAGAGTGAGTTCCAGGACAGCCAGGGCTACACAGAGAAACCGTCTCTCAGGAAAAACAAAACAAAACAAAACAAACAAACAAAAAACCCAAACCCAAAACACCTCAAATAGCCACAGGCTGGGGAGATAGTTTAGTAGTTAAATTGCTGCCCATGCAAAACAGGAAGGCCTCATTCCATCTCTAGAAACCTAGCATAAACGAATCAGGAAGTGCTTTTTTCATCTGATTGCAGTGTCAGCGCAGCAGATCCCTGGGAACACTGGCCAGCCATCCTAGACACTTGACCAGCTCCAGTTCAGTGAGAGAGGCTGTCTCAAAACACAAGGCAGGTGACCTACCTCAGGTCCAACGGTCAAGTTGACTCTGGGCGTCAATGCTCTCCCACACACAGGTGTTCCCACACCTACCCACACGTGCCCCTATAGGACACAAAACACTCACGCGTGCACGTATGAACGCGCAAACACACACACACAGGTGCACTCACACTCACCCACAGGTATGCCTACACACACACACACACACACACACACACACAAGTGCACCCACACTCACCCACAGGTATACCTACTCTCACACACACACACACACACACACACACACACACACACACACACAAGTGCACCCACACTCACCCACAGGTATACCTACTCACACATACACACAAGTGCACTCACACTCACCCACAGGTAAACCTACTCACACACGAAAACACACAGGTGCACACACTCAAACAGGTACTTGCACACAAGTGAACTTAAACACAATAACACATACATATAACACTCACACACACATACAAGTCACACACACAAGCAAACCTATCCACAAACACATCTAGACACACATACACATAAAAACACAAGCACACACACACAAGCAAACCTACACACACACACACACACACACACACACACACACACACACACACACGTCTAGACACAAATGAACATACAAAGCCAAACAGACACACAAACCAAACAATCAAATGCAAAATTCACACGCAACCTCGATTGATAACAGTAAAATCACACAGGGCACCACTCCACAGCTCCTCTCAACACACCCAAAGAAATCCAGGCCAGGCCACAGCATAATATCTGCTGGCTGGAGCCCTCACAATCGCTCCTCGTGAGGTCATAGCAGGCCCTGCCCTGACAGGACTGGCCTGGACCCAAAGGCTCTGGCTCAGGTGGGCCATGGAGCCTGGCATTAGGCTTTTTAGAAATCAGAGCCTGGAGGATGCTCTTGGCTTTCTGGTTTGAATGTCTGCTGTGCCTCCTGCTTTGCTGACCTCATATCTGCACTCACCACGGCACCTTTTCTTTGAATTCTGACTGGTGGGCCCAAGATGATGCTACAGCTTAACTTACAGAAAAATGTTCTGCTCATGAAATAGAATAAAGCAATTTATTGCCACAGCGATGCTGTCAGGAAGATACCTTTCTCATACTTTCCAAGGCCACTGGGTTCTCATAAAAAGCCTGGGTGGGGACCTTGGAGATAGGTCAGTGGTTAGAACATCTGCCTTTCAGAGTGTGAGGTGAGGACCTCCGTGTGAATTCCCAGAGTCCATGTGAAGGCTGGACACAGTAGCACACACCTGTAATATCAGAACTCCCTAGAAGCGGGAAAGGCAATGGAGATAGAAAAATGCCTGGGGGCTTGTGGGCCAGATAACCTGGGTCACCTCATCTGAAATCCCTGTGCTGTCAAGTCTTAGCCCTTGCTTCAAACAAGGGGGAAGGTAAGGACTGGCAAAAGTGTCCTCTAATCTCCACACACATGGTAGGACAAATGCATCTCCAAATGCATGTTTTACACACACACACACACACACACACACACACAGAAGTCAAAAGAAACAGGGTCAATATATGCAATG